CCTGTCATAGGAGAGCAGCACCACTTCCCTGCAGGGAATTTGTTGTGGGGCAGCCCACCCATGAAGTGCTTACGACTTGCCACCAGCTTGCCGTCGCCCCACCCAGGGCGAGCGGCCGATCCTGCTGCTTCCTGCCTGGCTGCCTCTTCCTGGGCGGGAAAGGTGGGCTGGGCCGGGCTGCATGGGGCACTGCTCTTCATCCGTGGAAGAGGTTCCAGGAGGGTGGCTTCCCTCCTGGGGCCTCCCATTGGAGCCTCACTCCTGCCCTTGCAGCAGCGGCTCCGCCGCTCCTGGCGGCCCTGCCCGGGAGCCCTCGCCTCCTCCTTCTCCGGCAGGAGAAGCATCCCCTGCCACTGGAGCCCCGCTTTCCTTACCGATGGAAAGCACTCAGCAGGGAGGGAGGGGGATGCGCCAACCTTAGTTCCAAGACGCAGCCTGGGCGGCTGCACATCAGTGAGGGAAGTGGGGCTCTGCACTGGAGCCCCGCTTTCCTCACCGATGGAAAGAGCTCAGCAGGGAGGGGGATGCGCCAGGGAAGTGGGGCTCTGGCAGTATCCAAGACGCAGCCTGGGCGGCTGCACATCAGTGAGGGAAGTGGGGCTCTGGCAGTGGGGAATGCTTCCCCTGCCGCAGAAGGAGGAGGCGAGGGCTGCTGGGCAGGGCCGCCAGGAGCGAGGGAGCCGGCGCTGCAAGGGTGGGAGCAAGGTCGGGTTGGAAAGAATGGACTGTCGGCGGGCTAAGTGGGGCCTCATTTCCACCCTTTTAGCACCAGGTGGAAATGAGCATTGAGTGTTCTACTTGGTAAATCTGTAACGTTTAGTGCAGGCAACCAGGCTGCCCAGATAGTGTCTGAGGAAGTGGCTGCGTTATGTCTGTCTCGGCCTGATGCCCGTTACTGGGGTGGGGGGGCAGCATGGTCCTTGCACAGTCCTAAGGCAAGATGATACCTTTGCTGGACCACTAAAAGAATCACAACCATAAATGAGCTTCTGACCCCTCCCCCCTTTGAGAATACCTTCCCCCTTTGAATTCCTGCCTTGAGCAGGGGGTTGGACTTGATGGCCTTATAGCCCCCCTTCAAGCTTCATTACTGTATGATTCATCCAGCTGGACACCACAGAGGATGATGCAGAAAATACACAAAAGTGTCAAAAATCATGGCAGATTCCTTTTTTAAACAGCAGCAACAAGACCCACGTTTCAAAATAGGGCCTGCAATCTGAAGGGAGGAGTGTGGGTTTTCAGATTCGACTTCTGGTGGTGTAGATTGGAGCAAGTTCCCCGAAACTGCTGGACAAGGATGTTATTGTTGTGTGAGCTTTTCTAGGTGTCAACCCATGTCTTGCTGCATGAAAACGTCCACTAGATGACGGTAGTGCTTCGTGTTTGCAGGACAACCCCCTCCCTGCTCCCTAGGCAAAGCTTGTTGAAGACGAAACATGTCTCCTCCTCTCTTGTTTCTCCGCTCCCTCCCCACCCCCAACTCTGAGTAACAGACTCACTTGGACATGTAAACAGATGATCCCTTGAGACAGTAGGTGGAGCTTGGAAATTTTGTACATATCAATATGTTCGAAGAGTTCTCTTTCCATGCTATTAGTCCTGTTTATATTATATTTATATTGGAGGGAGAGAGAGTCTTTACTTCCTTGGATTCTTCTATCTGCTACTAAAGTGACACAAATGCTAAAATCAGCTTCCGTACCTTGTAGGCAATGCTTCCATATTTCCTTCTTTGGATTTCCGGCAACACATCACACTATTCCTGTCTGGACATTATTCAAGCACAGGTCACTGTGACCAAGAGATCTCTCCCTTGGACGGGCCACAATTGGCATATCCATCTCAAAGGGCGACAGGTGGTCCAAGCTCCAGTGACAAAGGCAAATCTAGCAGCAACATCAGAATCTATATTAATATCAAGAAAAGTATTGCATTACAAAACACATGCACACAAAAAACCACAATTATATTCTGATGATGAAGCAACAGTAATGGTCAATGATGGTATCTAAATTGCAGAACAAGACAGGGATGCCTCCAATCCCTGAGACTGGTTGCATCAATAAAGGAATTATTGGTGAATGCAATAAGAACAAATGAAATAATAAAAGGGACCGGATTTCAACAGAAAGCTAAAATAAGTTGATTTGTTGATGATAGAAAATCCAGTAAAAATTATAGACAGGATATAAAAGCATTTAAAGTATTTTGGGGGATTAAGTGGATTAACAATCAAGTGGAATAAATCTGAAAAAGATGTTTTATAATCATTCCAGTGAAGAAATAAGAAAAAATAAAGCTAAATTTAAGGAGACAAGAGTATATTAGGTATTTGGGTATACATTTGCTCTACGGTCCTAGCAGCTGAAGGCTATACCATGTCTGCCTGTGAACCTGCCCGAACTACTGGGATATTTAAAAATGTACCATGCGCTGCAAAGTCTGCTGTTTCAGGGGGACAGAGTTTGGCTTTATAAGACCGTTTACGTGGTTCAAAAATCCATGTCATGGCAAAGGTTTTATTCTTAGCTGATTAACAATTGGGAATTAGTTAAAGTGGGAAGCTAATGAACTCCAAATCTAATAGATGATACCGGTGCCAAAGACCTCCCCCCCGCCACACACACACACAGATCCCACGGCCATTTTCTCCAGAGTATGCACCATGTATCACTGATAAACTCTAAGGCCAAACTTCCCTGTTGCTCCCTTTATCTCTTGACTCCCTACTTTAGCATTCCAGTCCCCTAGAATGAGAAGAACATCTTTCTTTGGTGTCAGCTCTAGAAGGTGTTGTAAGTCTTCATAAAATTAGTCAATTTCAGCCTCTTCAGCATTGGTGGTTGGGGCATAAACATGGATTACTGTGATGTTGAAAGGTCTTCCTTGGATTCGTATTGAAATCATTGTATCATTTTTGAGATTGTATCCCAGTACAGATTTTCCCACTCTTTTGTTGACTATGAAGGTTACTCCATTCCTTTTATGGGATTCTTCCCCACAATAGTTGATATGAGCTGAATTCGCCCATTCCTGTCCATTTTAGTTCACTGATGCCCATGATGTCAGTATTTATTCTTGCCATCTCCTGCTTGACCACATCCAGCTTACCAAGGTTCATAGATCTTATATTCCAAGTTCCAAGGCAGTATTTTTGTTTGCAGCATCGGACTTTCACTTCACTTCCCAGCACGTCCACAGCTGAGCCTCCTTTTGGCTTTGGCCCAACCACTCCATTAGCTCTGGAGCTACTTGTACTTGTCCTCCGCTCTTCCTCAGTAGCATGTTGGACACCTTCCGACCTGAGGGGCTCATCTTCCAGTGTCATATCTTTTAGCCTTTTGTTTCTGTCCATGAAATTTTCTTGGCAAAGATACTTGGCAAAGATTCCTGCTCCAGGTGGATCGCATTTAGTCAGAACTCTCCACTATGACCTGTCCGTCTTGGGTGTCCCTGCACGGCATAGCCCATAGCTTTTCTGAATTACTCAAACCCCTTTGCCATGACAAGGCAGCAATCCATGAAGGGGGAAATATAAGTTAGGTGGTGTAAAAGAAGTAGCTTTGGAGCCTTGAAGGTCATCCCCGTTATTTTGTCTTAAAGAGCTCAATGGATTTACACTAAATTTGGTGTAGTACTTCTTAATTTGAAAGATTTCAAGAGTACATATATATTCGCGAAGGCTTTCACGGCCGGGATCTAATGGTTGTTGTGGGTTTTTCGGGCTCTTTGGCCATGTTCTGAAGGTTGTTCTTCCTAACATTTTGCCAGTCTCTGTGGCTGGCGTCTTCAGAAAAAGGCATATGGGTGCAATTTAAAGTGCTGGTTTTCATCTATAAAGCCCTGAATGGCCTGGACCCAAGCTATTTCAAAGACTGTATGTGCCATTATGAGTCAGATTGGGTTTGGGCTTTCTCTTGGTCCTGACACCTTCACAGATGCGTATGATGGGAATCTAGGAGAGAGCCTTCTCTGTTGCTGCTCCAACTTTGGAATTCCCTCCCACAGGAGGCCAAACTGCCCCCTTCTTCGTTGTCCTTCCGTAAGCAGGCGAAAACCTTTCTCTTCAGGCAAGTTTTCCCTCAGTAACCAGCTACAGTGGTGCCCCGCATAGCGACGATAATCCGTTCTGAAAAAATTGTCGCTATACGGATTCATCGCTATGTGGACCAAAAAAGCCCATAGGAACGCATTAAAACACGTTTAATGCGTTCCTATGGGCAAAAAACTCACCGTTCTGTGAAAATCTTCCATACAGCTGCCATTTTCACTGCCCGGTAAGCGAGGAAAGGGCGCGAAAACACAGCGGGCGGCCATTTTCTGTACCCAGTGCCATTTTGGAACCGCCGATCAGCTGTTGGAAAAACATCGTTATGCGATAATCGGTAAGCGAAACGCTTACCGATCATTGCAAAGCTATTTTTCCCATTTAAAACATTGTCATGCGATTGCTTTTGCGATTGCAAAAACTCAATCGCTATGTGGATTTGTCATTAAACAAAGCGCTCGTTATGCGGGGCACCACTGTACTTTTGTATGATTTTTCAATAGATTGTAATGCATTACTGCTTTGACTGGATTATTAGTACTATTTGTGTTTTCCTCTCAGACTGACATTAATAAATTTTTGTACATTGATCTTTGCCTTAAAATGCCTGTTAACTGATGCAAGATGCCTCCTTATTCATTGTTCATAATTTTTCAATATTGCCTTTTAATGATATTAACCACTGTTATATACTAATTGTTTTCAATGTTAAATGTTGTTTTTCATTGTTGTAAGCTGCCTTGGGTCCTTTTCAAGGAGAAAAGTGGGGTAAAAATATTTTAAATAAACAAATAAAATAAATCTATGGACATGTGGATGGAACTGGCCTTCTCAAGGAGTAAGGTACAGTATGCTGCTACATTGAAAAACTCTCCTCAGGGACCACAAAGGTTTCTGGCAGGAAGAGGTGGAGCCTACAGGAAAAGGCAGGGCTCTCTGAAGAAACTGGAGCGAGGAAGAGAGGCAAGTAACCGACAAGGTCTCAAATGTTTATTTTTACCTTTTGGTTCTGAGAAAATGAGCTCACTTAGCTAGCGTGGAGGGACTCTGATGGGGAGGAGGCACTGTGTGAGAGAAGCAAGAAGGAAAACAGTATGAAAGGGAATGGAGAGAGCAGAAGGGACCTTCAAGCCTGTCTGCATTTAATAGTTCTTCAAAGAGTTGGGGGATAAATTTCTCCTGCCTGGGGAGAAGTTTGAATACGCCCCCCCAAACCATCTGTAGACTGTCTTTAAACTCATCTTTTTAAAAAAATGCCTAGCACAGACAACAGCCATGTAACTTTGGGACTTTAATATGCAATTTTCTGAACTATCTAGACAGTGCACAGCTTGTGGAAGACAAATGATCATTGTCCCCTTGATTTTTTTAGTGATCCAATACAGCTATCACCTAATCTTGCATTTGTATTTTTTGGGGGGGAGGGACGCAAAGCCTTTTTTTTCTGAGCATGAAGGCGCTGATGTTCAGACTGGCCTGAAATCGCCTCATCGGAAAGCAAAGAGTTTTTGTGTGCCTTTTAAGGGTGTTCGTTTCCAGCGGATGGTTTGCCTTCCTGCCTGCCCATAAGAGGTGGAAAGGGAAGCAAGCCATCAGGAGGCGAAGCAATGCCCTGGATGGGAATCCCATGTGAACGCATGTGCCTGCAGAGCCAAAGGAAATGACTGTCCCAGATCTCTGTGCCCACGTGCATCGATTCAACCTTCTCCCAATTAGAAAATGAAACTGCGGGGCAAGTATTGGCGGCCTTTGGCCCCCTATTATATAGGCTATCGGTGGGCTTTCAAAAAGCTATTAAGGCGTAAAAGGGAAAAAAGGACAGCGGGAGTCTGTTGAATCGTCTGTAAAGGCTACACGTGTTGCGAGTACAAACGCCATGATGGCGGTGGACCTAACGTGTCAGCACTGTCTGGTATGACGTTATCAGGGTCGCGCCCTCCCCCAGTCTCCCGCTTACACACATGCACCAGGACAGTAATCTCCGCTCCCAATTCACTGGGACTCCCGTGTCCGTAGTTATATATTAAGGCGGCAACCCAAAAGGACTGAGGGCTCCGGAATAATTGCAGACAAGATTGCATCGTGCAGTTTGCCTTGCCATATTCGCAGGGTAACCCTTAAATCTAAAAACACACACTAAAAGACGTGAAACAGGGAGAGACAGAATCGGTGCGCTCCGGATTGCAAAGGCTAGGAGGAGTCCTCCGTCTGGAAGCATTCTAGAGGGAGAAGACTTGGATCTTGGGGGAAAAAAAGAAATTAAAACAAGAGGGTCCCAGCTGAAAGTCTCTCCCTTTTTCGCTGCTCTCACATTTCCGGCCTTCCAAAAGCATTGAGGAGTCATGAGCCAACCAAGCATCATCTCTGCTCCGAAAATCATCCTCTTGACGGCATGGCTGTATAGAGATTTGAACCTTGTACCCCTAGCATTCTACCCCGGTCCCGCAAAAAAACTACAGCGTCTTTTCCATGCTTTTTATACAAATGCTCCGGAATCTGAATCTATTTCTTCCTTCCTTTATTTTTTTTTTTTTTAAAAACCACCCAAACTCAAAACTATTTAGGATTAAATCTTCGCCCTCTCCGTTTTTGCCTTACTCCGAAGGCGATCACAAAAACTACAGCGTCTTTTCCATGCTTTTTATACAAATGCTCCGGAATCTGAATCTATTTCCTTCATTTTTTTTAAAAAAAACCACCCAAACTCAAAACTATTTAGGATTAAATCTTCGCCCTCTCTGTTTTTGCCTTACTCCGAAGGCGATCAGCCCTCCTTCTCCGGTTTTCAAGTTCCCGCGTCTTCTGAGGGACGCCCAGGTCCTCTTGCACCCGCTTACCTCCGAACTGGTGCCCAGTCGCATAACTCTGCTTATGCTCCAAAACCACAACCACGCTCTCGACTGCCCGACTGAGCGCTAGCTCTTAAAAATCTACCTTTAAGCCGAAGGCTCTGCCCCGGGGAGGTGGTAAAAGCCTCCTCCTCCGCCTACAATGTTCATGATGCGGAGTGACGCTGCTTTGTTTTTATTCAACGTCCAAACCCTTAACCCGTTCTATGGCCATGACAGCAGTGTCTCTGTGGCAATTTAAACTGTAACCTCCCCGGTACTGGCATTGTATGATGGACGTTGATTGTGATATGTATGTATCTATGTATGAATGTATGTATGAATGTGTCTGTATATATGCGACTATACTGTATATAAACAAACAAACAAACAAACAAATAGGGCCGAATCATGCTATAGTCCCGTTACCTCTGCATAAAGGTGAAACCTTCCAGAATCTTTACTCCGGGGAAAGGGGTTAGTAAGAGACGGACGGATGGGTTTTAATGCAGAAAACATGAAAGTGAAGAAGTTGATAATCATTTGTTGCATAACTTCAGTGGGAAAAGCTGGAAAGAAGTGGCCCAGAATAAGCTTCTCAAAGAGGTAGTTTCAGAAGAGGTAGCTGTGTCAGTGTGGGTGTGCAATTATAACAGGCAAAATCCGAAGAAACACAACAAAGCAATACATTATTTTCACCACAGGACTGTAAAACAGACACAGGACTAACTACTGTGTGTAACCAAGGAGTATTTATTTAGAATGTGAAACAGTTGTTTCATCTACATTCCATTCGATTCCATTCTGTCCCTTGATGTGCGACCAAGTGGACGCGTCCACGAAAATTTATGTTGAAATATAATGGTTAGTCTTTAAGGTGCAACAAGTTTTTGTCCCATTTTTTGTGCATTGTTTTGCTTTGTTTTGTTTCTTTGGATTTCACCTTTTTATGGAGAAAACTGATGCCAAAAAAAAAAAAGTGAAATTGGCATTTTGTTTATGTATTTATTTGCAAAAAGCAACGAGAAATGCTAAATATGCACAATAACAAGATTTTAGAAATAAAATTCAGGCATAATTAAAATTTGAAATATATCACTTTAAAGGCTTCTCAGATTTACCTTACTTCTATCTTTTATACGCATATGAGCTGATACTGAAATAAATTTGTTAGTCTGAGTCATCATCATCATCTCAGAACCGCAGAGCTGAAAGGGACCTTATGGGTCATCGAGTCTAACCCCTCTTGTTTATCCCAAAACAAGCTAATGTGGCTACCTCTCTAAACATTATTGGGAAAGTTTTGCTTCTAAAATATTCTGAGATGCCATTCATGCATAACATTCCCTGGTGCCAGTTTCATAAAGTAAATGTGATATGTATATGATCTTGCTTTATAAAGGGTACATGCCAACAGATTCCAGTCCAGGTTTTTGTCCTCTCCATAACTGTGAGAACAACTGATTGGTTCTTCTGTTGTTAACGTGTTTGACTGCTGAAGAGTTCTTCCTCCTGCAGGAGAAATGGTATTTCTTTTGTTTTCTTTGATGGGTGTAGTAGTTAGCAGAGAAACAAATACAGTACCAAAGATATTTGAACACAGCCTCCCCAGCCTAACCCCCCCCCTCCTTAAGAATGGGCTGGACTTGCTACAGTGCTCCTAATCAGCAAAACTACGTAAACCTAGCCTTAAAGTGTGATTGTTTGGTTTGTGTGATACTGTAGAAATTACAGCCCATTGGGTGAGCCCTTTTTTTTTACAATGCAGAATGAATAATTCTTTCCACATATCCTGAAGGGTTAGCTCTTTTTAAAGCTCTTAAAATGCATTTTTATTTACTTCCAAACTGCAAGGGTAGTGCAGTAAATATAGTTTGTCAATAAGCAATTTGAATCCTAATTTCTTTTCTCTCTCTTCTTCCTTTCTTTTTAGTAATATTTATTTATTTTGTCTTCATATTTTGATTTGGCTTTTCTGTGACTTAAAACAAAACATAAGATTCTTAGATGGTAAACAGAACTTTAAGTATATGTGTTCTTGAGCTAGTTTAGCTCTTGTGTTCAATTAGGGAATGCTAAATATTCTCACATTTGAAGCCTGAAGTGAAGATCTTTGGAAATGTAACAGTGGTAAAGTTTTGTTCTGTTTTACTGTGTAGCTTTAAATCCCAGACAGCCCTAATAATAAAGGAAACTATTCTTTGGGCCCTAACCAACATTGGCGGCCAGCGTAGCTGAATTTAAGGCAGCTTTCCAAGTCCGAAGATTGTCCTTTTCACAAAGAGGAAGCAGCCATAATAGAAACAAGGGGAACTCCAAAGCTGCTGGATGTGATTGGGCCATGCCAGACTTTAAAGGAAGTAGACACAGTTCTTGATGCAGATTCTGCTGATGTTTAAGGTTTTCAGATCAATCTGTGAAATAGGATATGAATTCCCCATCCCTGTAATGACCTAATGATTGCCTGGTAGACGTTGGATCAAAACTTCATCTGTTGCAAGTTTGCATTTAAAACTACAGCTAGCCAGTCCCTCACCACCAACCAAATGACGGAGGGAGGTAGCCATCTTTTCATTTTATCTAGTATCTGGCATTTAGAAGCGTGCTACCTCCCGATCATGGAGTTTTAATTTAATTATTACTTTTCTCCTCCTCATATGCTTTCCCAGTATCTGCAAGGATGAAAGACTATTTTAAATCGGTTTATGCTGTCAATTTGTGATGTTGTGGATGGGAAATATACTTTCTTTAACCTTTCCTGAAGATGTCGTAAGAGAGGGCTTGATTCTTTGTGCTTGGGCTTTCGTCCCTAGACAGCTACGGCACAAGAAATAATAAACACAGATGTTGATGCTGAAGAGAGATTGAATACAGTTAAGGAAGAAACGGAGGCTTCTGACAAAGTCACAGTGAAGAGGCAAAGCTTATGTTGGGACAGAAAAAATGGAGGTAAGCCAGAATGATTATGTGGAGCCTTAGCAGGAAGCCATGAGGTACTTTGGCACATCTTCATCTGCAAAGCAATTTATTATTTTTTAACCCAGAGTTTAAAAATCTATTGGCTTGCATGATGTGTCTCTCCTCCCTCCTTTGTTTTTTTAATAAAGCCCAAGCGAACAAAACTATGGCTGGAATCCATGCATACAGCTGATGATGTCATAAACCTGGGTTCGACTCAATGGCTGTAGCGATCATCCTGCTTTGGCCCAGGTAGAAGATTATTGGCATGTACCAATGAGAACTGTTGGGAGTAGGAGCCAGAGAAACTAGAAGGGGGGGCGGTGAGTCATAAGTCTGGGGAGTTCAGTCAGAGACAGAGTTTTGAGGGGAGATAGTTTGGGTTTGAAGTAGAGAGAATTGAAGGAGTGAATAGAGTATTATCTGTATTAGTTCAGATAGAAAAGCTTAAAGAAAACTACTGAAGCCTTGTGTAACTTTAAGAATGTGCTTAAGAATTATTTCTGAAACAGCTTGTAATCAAGAAACCTGTTCCTATTTCAAAGTCAAGTACTGAATGGACCTCAGTTGTTCATAGGAAGTATAGTTGGTAAAGAGATCAGCTGGTAGCAGCGAGGTAAAGGACGTGTTGGGATACTCCGTGAGCTTATTGTTTGGTGAAGCAAGCAGGGGCTATGTGGGTAAACGTCACAATGGCCTTGTAGGCCCTTTCAAGCTCAATTCATTTATGGCTCTATGAATGAGAAACAGAGTTGCCCTGTCCACTCATCTCAAAGATAACTTTCTGGTGCTTTATTTTTGATTTCATGATCTCCTGGTGCCTCTGGTTAGCTAATCCCTGTTCTCAGTGATACCGACATCCATAACCAGCAAATCTATGAACCACCTCAAAATTTAGGGGGCCACCTCCTGTTCTTTTTGTGGGCAATGCATGGCTCTCTGAGCTAGCTTGTATGTTTTGTAAAGCAGGATAATAATTAACTTTAAACATGCTAGCCACCATTGCTGCAGCAGTGTGTCCCTTTTAAGTGGTATGGAAAGACTCTGCAGTTCTCAGCATTAGCCGAAGCTGAGCAGCCTGGTTTTAAAGGCTGCAGGAATGGTCAAAGTGCAACCCAAGGCTGCAGGCATTTCTCCAATTTAATTGTAAACAGCAAAAGTTTCTTGGAAAGAAGTGGCAACTCAGACCACAAAAACTCCTGGAGAACATATAATGTTAAACTTTTGGGAAGGGTTGTGAGAGTTGTATGTAACCTGCCAAATACCGATATGGACAAAAGTGCAAGACTGTCATTGGTGTCCATTGATGCCCATATGATTTGGGTCTAGGAAATATGAAGTCTTACATTCTTCCATATGAAGCTATCTGTATTAAAAAAATTTCTGTAAGTTCTACCTTCTATATATCTGTGAACAGTCATCCAGATGAGGTTATCTGGAAGCTATCGCAACTGGACTTCTGTCTTAGGTTGAAACTCATCCAAGTAGTGAAACTTTTCAACCTAATAAGAAAGAAGTCCAGTTGCTATAACTCGGCTTACAGATTTTACTTTCCATCTAATCACCTTCTGAGGTACGTATGGAAATCCTGCCAAAGGAAGTTTGTCTCATCTCCTTTTGCTAATGCCAAAGGCTGTGCCATTTGTTATATTTAGTATTGTTGTATTGGATGTGTTTTGATTGCATTAGATTAGGCATCCTTCAGTCCCAAGAGACTATGATAACGTGCTCTGAATAGAGGACTTGGAACAGCATCTAGTGTAGCTGAGAAGCCCAATTCAAGAGTGACAATCCCTTCCACAATGAAGATAAATACTATCTGTCCCGTGTCCAGCTCCCTCATTTGGCTGGGTTCGGGACTGCCTCTTTGCCTCAGCCTGCTGGACAAGGGTCTCTTCAAAATGGGAAAGGCCATGAAGCACCACCTGCCTCCAGACTGAACACTCAGATGTCAAGGTTTTCCATCTGTTGAGGTCAATTCCTAAGGCCTTCCTACTGCAGATCTCCTTGTATCGCAGCTGTGGTCTCCCTCTGGAGTGCTTTCCCTGCACTAATTCTCCATACAGGAGATCTTTTGGAATCCGACCATCAGCCATTCTCACGACATGCCCAAACCAAAGTAGATCTCACTGTTTCAGTACATGCTAAAAATTCCAGCTTGTTTTAGGACTATTTGGAACTTTATCCTGCCATCATTGTTTAGTCGTGTCTGACTCTTCGTGACCCCATGGACCAGAGCAGGCCAGGCCCTCCTGTCTTCCACTGCCTCCCGGAGTTG